TGGAATTGACTTTGTGTATTAAATTGATGCCTATCAATGTATTGGAAATGTGTTAGAATTCACTTAATAGTTAGTATTTTTATTTCCATGGACCTATTTGGGGAAGGAGATGCATTGTTATTCATGACTGGGAATCATTCTTGAGAAAGAGTTGTAACTATTAAACATTAGATTCATATTGAATGATGGAGAGAGGTTAAAGGGGACTTTATATGAAAAATTAAAGTCATATTTTATTTAAAAGATTTGGGTGGCTACTCATTTTGAAACACAACTCTGGGTAGCTCACAATTAAAACCTCAAACTGTAAAAAAATAAAGCCACAAAACACCATAAAATATTTGGTGATATTTTGTTCCTCATTAGTTGTTTATTAAAAGTTCCATAATCATAATTTTATACTTTTTTATTAAAAAGAAGGGAAAGTAGTTCTCCTTAGTCTGGCTACATCTTTGTTGGCACAGTACCTGTGCGAGCTACTTGATCATGTTCTACACAGTTGAATGATAGGATTAGGCATTCATGCTGGATGGCGTTTCAAGCCAAATGCAATGGAAAGACTTTTGGCAGAATTTATTGCCGTATACATTCAAGAACGTGGCTGAGAGGAGGTGCAAAACTGATTTGGGGACAAGTAGTTCTAGTTACTTAATCTTTTATTTTATTTAATGGTCCTAGCTTGCACTTTTCTGAAATGCCTGATCTGTAACTTGCAGACCTCCCAACCTGTCAAAGAACATTTGATCATAGTGGCTGTCTTCAAGGCAACGGATGGAAAGGAGTCTACCATTACAATCTTCTAATTAGATGCACTATGTTTCATTCAAGTGATATAAACTGTCAGGATTTATCTTTATTAAATCAGAGTGCCTAAAGCTGTGTTGATTATCTTGGCCCAAATAAAGCCAGGCTGTAGTTGAAGCGATATATACATTTTAGGTAAATGAGCTTCATTCAAAGAATCTTAGTAAATATTTGTTTATGGTATATTCTCATATTCCCTTTTTAAACTGACCAATTCATGTCTTGCAAATTCTCATATTTTGTGGAATCAGCGTTGTACTGTTGGAGGTTGAACAAAATGAAGCTAATGATCCATATATAAATACAGTGAACTATCTTAAACAAGCTATTCCCACTATGTTTTTCTGGTACTGCTTAGCAGTCCATTAACCTTAATTAACTCTTTTTTTAAAAAGTACTTTTTTTGGTATACCAAAGTCAGTACAATATGTTGTTAATTTTTTTTGTGGGAGCAGCCCATTCCGGGTGCTCACTAATCTCTTTATAGTATAGATAGTCCTTGGCATATGACACAGATGCAACTTGAATCTCGGTCATTCAATGAGTATTCATTAAGTGAGACATCTATGTGTCCTTTTCAGGATTTTATTTTTAACATCAAAATAGAACACTTTGGATCATTTTGGGAATGGCATAAGGCATGTCTATAGGATTATTTATTTAGTATATGGCATATCATATATGGACTAGCAATATATATTAACATTTCATCTAGAGGAGTAGAACACAATGAAATATGAATGTTAAAAAGATCTATGTTCAAATACCAAGGTCTAGGCCATCTAACCATTGAAGCGAAGCATAGTTTATATTTAAAAAAATCAGATACTGGGCTGATATATGCCCTCAGCTTATAACTGGTCATGATGTGATCTACAGTTTGACGTGGCATGCTGCAGTCACACTAAGGGGAGGATACTATGCCCCATTTATACAGAGACCAGAGATGCCATGTTAGGTGCGAATTTTGTTCAGGATTATCCATTGCTGATGTGGTAGTTCAAAGCCTGGCACTTTTTTTGTGGGGTCAATTACGTTACCTTTATTGTTTCAGAGGATACTGTTTTTGACAAGTCAATGTTCTTTATCACTCCAACATACAGACACAAAACAATAATAATAATTAGACCCCCCCCCCCATATTACTTTTATAAGGAACTCAAGATGGCAAATATATATGATATTCCTTTAAGTCAAAAGAAGACAAATTTCACTGAATGGCAAGACCATTTTCCTAACAGTAACACCATTTGGAACGGAAAGTCAGTTACTCAGAGAAATAGTGCTTCCTGGACATGACCAAGCAGACCTTAAATTGTCATATATCACAAATACTTTAATCTGAGTGACTGCATTGAGCAGAAAATTGGATTTAATAACCTCAGTGGCCCCTGCCAACACTCAGAATTTATGATGACTATCAAAGTCTGTATTTTTGTAGCATCAACTGCTATTGGTATTTTATTTGTTTATCATTATGTCATAATAAATTAGAATTACAGAGTAATAAAATTAAGAACAAGCTGCTACTGAAATTGAACTCCCATCATTGTTAAAGTTTAGAAAGGAACTTAAAAAACATATTTACCCAGAATTTTTAACGTTCCTCTTTTACTTTAAAGTTTGTGTATCGTTTAAGTTTTTAATGTTATTGCCACGGATGTTTTTAGTGATTGAAAGGCTTCCAAACCCAATGAGAGATTGGACAGAATATAAATTTTCTAAACAACACTTAATTGCAGTGATTATCCTGATATTTTGAAGGTATATAAGTCAGATCTAGATGTAGCTATAGAAAATGTGACTCCTATAAAAGCCAATATGTGGGGGATATGTATGTGTATACACACACAAACACCACAGGAGTAAATTTCAGTTACTTGGTGCTTTGTGCCTAGCCATATGATCTTTATAATCCTTGCTGTTCGTTAAAAATAATGACCTCAAATAATTGACATCAAAATTTTAAGCTGGGAGGTTTTTTATTAAAATATAACAATATACAAAATTTACCTGTAAATGAATAAAGTAATTTTAAATTTTATAACTTAATGCGTTTTCTAGTCCTATGGTGGGAATTAGGATTCTTGAAACATAGGTGAAAGTTATGCTGTGTAGTGAAAGAACATACGGAAGTCTGAGACAGCTAGTAAAACCACAGATTGCATGAGGAAACCCAGAAGTAGAGGCAAACACTTCTGACTTGCTCCGTTTTGACCACAAAACCTCAACCATCAAATCACGGCTTCCAGAGGATCTGTATTGCAGATATATAGAAGTGAGAACCTGTGGTTGAACTTGGATATAGGGCTTATTTGGGTTTGTTATTGCTGTACTGGTTTCCCTACTGTGATGTGACATTCCTCCTGCCTGATTTGGTGCTGGATCTTGAGATTGATAATATTAAGTAATTTCAACTTGCCCTTATGTGGGAATTGAGTTTTGGGAGCAGCTCCATAGTTCATGGCCCCAATGGCAACCATGGATCAATTCAGAGGTCATGAAAACCTCTAACATAAATCTTTTGTAACCACATTTCGTATATCTCTTTTTTCTTATCAACATTGTTTTTATCACCACTTGTCTTAAAAGCTATGTGGGTAATAAAATAATCATGACCTGTTTTTGGTTTTTTTCCCTGTCCTCAGGTATCTTTGGATGTTTTTGAACGTGCAGAATTTGGCAGCTTGAAAGTCATTCCAGTTCTGGTTTGGTTGCAGCCCCTGAATGCTTGTAGATATAATCTGCTACAGTAAGAAATGCTTCTAGAACTGGTAAATGCTGTAAGAAGAGACTTTTTATCTTTCCTGGTAAGTAGCAAAATAAGAAATGTCAGAAAATGAAGAGAGAGAGAGGGAAAAAAAGACAATCAGTTATTTCCCAACTGAATTAAAATGCCAATATTAAGTACCGTCCTAAATAATGTGCCTTTGCTTGTTTTATAGATACTAAACTGGACATGATCACCATAACCAGTTTAATATCAAAAACAAATAATAGGAGAGATAAATAGAGGCTAAAAACAAGCCTTTGCAGATTATAAAATCTTATCTATTATTTATACAGCCTCACACAAGTCACTGACGATGTTACTTAATTGGATAATGAAACATCTGCAAGCAAACAACCAAGCTCAGAGAGCACCAAGGACTCCACAGTTCAACCCTGAGCTATATATATTCTCTTTTTTGGGACCCAAATGCTAAGCATGTTCACGCGGGACAAACCAGTTCTATGTGCAGGAGGCAGTCCTGAAGATACCCAAGAGCCAAGCCTTCTAGCTTTTACCTTTTGGCTTCTCCCTGAAATCCTACGTGAAGCTAATCCAGTGCTCACAACACAAGCATTATTTGGTTCTCAGCCACCACCATGTGGGTATCTGCACTGGGCAGCAATAGCAGTTTCCAGGTGGATTTCCAAAGAACCTCACATTGAACATGTTGCAGTAGTCCGTTCTAGTTGTGGTGAGTGTGAGTTGTCAAGGCCTCTTGCTTCAAATATCCACCCACCTGTCAATCGAGCAATCACTGGGAGTCTTCCAAGTTGCACATCTGCACTTTGAAATAAAATGAGATTTGTCCAGAGTTAGAACTCGAACAGATCAGGAACCAAAATCCATTCTGGACTTCTTCCTCGTGAGAAAAGGAAAAATAAGTTTGCTTAGGAAAACAACTTTTAAATTATCTGAAAGATTAATATTAATTCAAATGATAAAACTCTGAGAGCAGTAAAATTACTGATTTGTATTTTTAGATAGCTGGGTTGATGGAAAAGGTAAGAGAGTGTAAGGCATTCTTTGTTGTATACAAACTTGCTATTTCAGATCTAATTAACTGTCTTTTAAGTAATTTAACAGCACTTCATTGAAAACATTTAGTACTGCAAGATCCAATATGGGTCGGTCATCAGAACCAGAAATGTAGTCTTTCGAGCTTTCAGACTCATGCTAGAGGGAACTTCTGTCTGCCAGAATATGTTGGGCTCCAGCATGAGTCCAGAAGCTCGGATGACAAAACCACTGGTTCCAATGACTGACTTAGATTGGAACTTGCAACATTATTTGCCTTCATTCATGACATTTAGTATTGTTCATAATTTTCATCCTTCCTTTCTAAATAGTTGCAATGAACACCAAACTAGATTGGATCACCTACCTGTGTTTTGTGTTGCCTTTTTAGGTGCCGTGTAATATTATGTGCCTTGCAAGCAGAGCTCACAGTGATCAAAATGGTGTATGGTGAATTCTTCCACAGACCAGGACAAGATGAGGAGCTTGTCAATTTGAATGTTGGTGGTTTTAAACAGTCCATTGGTCAAAGTACATTGCTCAAATTTCCTCATACAAGGCTTGGGAAGCTACTCAGGTGCCATTCAGAAGAAGCTATTCTGGAACTTTGCGATGATTACAGTGTGGCAGACAAGGAATATTACTTTGATAGGAACCCTTCTTTGTTTAGATATGTGCTGAATTTTTATTACACAGGTAAACTCCATGTTATGGAAGAACTTTGCGTCTTCTCCTTTTGCCAGGAAATAGAGTACTGGGGGATCAACGAGCTCTTCATTGATACTTGTTGTAGTGGTTGGTTCCAAGATAGAAAAGAAGAATGTCCTGATAAAGAATGGGATCAAAGAAGCCCAGGTGGAAGTCTAGATTCTTCTACTTCTGATGATGAGTCTTCCATATTTGAGAAGGAGCTTGAGAAGTTTGATAAACAGTGGTTTGGAGAGTTGCGCAAGAATATATGGATCAGAATGGAGAACCCTGCATATTGTTTATCAGCCAAACTGATTGCTGTATCTTCCTTAAGTGTGGTCCTAGCATCTATTGTGACTATGTGCATTCACAGCATGCCAGAGTTCCAGAAGGTGGGTGTCAATGACAAAGAGGTTGAAAACCCAATCCTGGATGTTGTGGAACTCATATGCATCATCTGGTTCACCTCTGAGCTTATGATCAGATTAGCTGCTGCTCCAAGTCAGAAGAAGTTTTGGAAGAACCCACTGAATATCATTGACTTTGTATCGATTGTTCCATTTTATGCCACTTTGGCTGTCGACACCAAAGACGAAGAAAGCGAAGACATCGAAAACATGGGGAAGGTGGTTCAAATTCTACGCTTAATGAGGATATTCCGAATATTGAAACTAGCACGACATTCCGTTGGACTGCGGTCTTTGGGGGCAACTTTAAGGCACAGCTATCATGAAGTTGGACTTCTGCTTTTGTTCTTGGCTGTTGGGATTTCTATTTTTTCTGTTCTGGTCTACTCAGTGGAAAAAGATCAGGACAGTTCAGAGCTGAGTAATATCCCTATTTGCTGGTGGTGGGCCACAATCAGCATGACTACCGTTGGCTATGGGGATACCTTCCCAGTTACCCTTGGAGGGAAGATCATTGGCACAAGCTGCATTATCTGTGGAATATTGGTGGTAGCCCTTCCTATAACTATCATTTTCAACAAGTTTTCAAAATACTATCAGAAGCAGAAGGATATCGATAGAGATCAGTGCAATAACACTCCCAAGGAAAAGACAAATGACCTCCCTTATTTTAACATTAGGGATATTTATGCAAAAAGGATGCACTCCTTTATTTCTAGCCTTTCTTCAGTAGGAATTGTAGCCAACGATCAAGATTCAACAGATGCTTCCAGTATTCAAGATCTTGATGATGTTTATAACACAACATCTTTGCAGAATGGTACAGGAAAATGAATTGAATCTCTCTTTCTTTAACGGTTTCTTTCTAATATCAGCACAGCTTTTATAAAGACCACTTGATTCTCAGGGTATTTAACTCTCTGCCATATAGGGGCATTCTTTGCTGTGAAGATGTCGCACATTCTTTACTGTTTAGATGAGGCTTAAGGCTAGACAGATTGTGGTTTAGCTTTTAACATGACATAGGAAAAAGGCGTTGGGTGTTTGTTTCTGGACTTACATGTATGAAAGTATGGTTTGGATTGAAGTCTCCAGAGAAAGGGAGAATTGTGTGCAAGTAGAAAGTGTGCCCCAGTGAGGTGGAATTCTAAAATGCAGATATTCTTGGAAATGTATACAAGTTCAGATGAAAACCTGTTAATGTGGGTTACAGATGTTTTTAACGTCAATCATGGGTACCTGCTAGCACAGAAACTCCTGTTCCATAGAGAGGCTTCATTTCTCAGCCATACTTTTGTTAGTCCCAAAGATGCTTTTTCAAGAGGCAACTGGACTTTCTGGTTTTTCTTTGAAGATGTTTTGCTTCTCATCCAAGAACCTTCCATCAGAGCTGAAGAAGCTTCTTGGATGAGAAGCAAAATGTCTTCAAAGAAAAACCGGAAAAGCCAGTTTCCTCTTGAAAAAGCACATTTGGGACAACCATGACCTGGATGATTGAAAATCTCCATAGACAACTTACAAAAGCCTCAGGTGTTAATCAGCAACCCAACCGAAGAGATAAATTTAATCTCTGCTTCCCATTTATAAAATGCAATGTATAGCTTCATATTTATCTTGCGACATTTGGACATCAAACTTGCATGCCTGACCAGAAGAGATTAACAGATTATATCTCCTAGGTAGCCCCTTGGGCTTCTATTATGCTGCTTGAATCTGCTTTCTGAATCTTGTGAATCAGATTGTGGTAACGATGGGAGTGTCAGGTTGTCAGTTCACTGACCTTGAAATTTTTTACATAAGATAGCTATAAGGATGCTAAAAGCCATAGTTTATTTACCAACCTGTACAATCCAAGTCAATGCCTCATGGTTACTGAGAGTAAACCACATAGTGTCCTTTGAATCAGCAGAGCAGAACTATATAACAGGAAGTGAATTTCAGGACTCTCACTGACCCACTTTAAAACCTCACCTTTCCATCCTTTCACATGACTCTGTTCTTCCATGGCTATTTCTGCTTTGGCTACTGGGGAGAGTAGAATAATACTTAGCAACCAAGAGGTTTGGCTTTGTTTGCTCAGGAAGAATAATGAGCTCCCGGAAGAGCTTCCATAAAGTCAGTATTTACATTTCTGCACAATAATGACCAATTCCATTGTTGGTCTGAGCCTCCTTCCTACTTCCTCCTAGTAATGGAGCTCCTGCTGTTGTCACTACCATAAATCGCAACGCAGCCCATAAAGGCAAAGTTGCTGGTCAGGTTCTAGGTAGCCTGCTGTTGACCAGGTATCGCAAGTTGCCAGCTGTGGCTCCAGGACCAGAAAAAAATGGAATGGTGGCAGCAGTATTTGCAGTACAATAGTGCCAATTACATGGGTAGTGGAGAGGCAGTTCATCTAGACAGCCTTATTGAGGGTTCCAGTGCCTAGCCCTATAGAATTGCTGCCCAATCTGACCTTCTTAAGTGATAAGAAGAACCTGGGGAGAGGACAGGAGGCTGTAGTAGTTTTGAGGCTGACCTCCTTTTCTTCTTTATCGATCAAGCCCCAGTGATGTCTTTTTTGCTACTCTGGATCCAGGACTACTTGAGGGAATTCATTCCTGTACGATAAAATGTGATTCTTTTCCCCCCGGTTAGATTGGTTTCTGATTTTGAAAAGCACAATGCCCTCTCTTTCCTTAGTGTGGCAGACTTTGTCAAATGGCTGAATAAAAAACCTGGATGTCAAGTTGTGCCTTTGCGTTGTTGGAAGAGTTGTGGCTTCTCACCTGTGTACTTCTTTGGTTTTTGGTAATGATGACAGGATCCAGGATGATCCAGGAAGAAGCTAGTTCCGTTTTTCTATACCAATAACATAGAAGGAATTCATTAGGAGCTGCTATAAATGGTACAGCCTTCATTGTTTATGGCATTGTCATTCTGATAGACTGGCGACAGCCAACCAGTGCTTGAAATCTTGGGGAACCCTTATAAGATGTCAGATTACCAGATGACCTCATACATAGAGAGCAAAGGTTTTAAAGCCAGGGAATCTATTGCAATAAACTCCCTGAAACAGAATGTCCTACATTTGTGGCAGCCAGAGTGTGTGACCAGCTCCCTGTCAGGGTTCCAAGTAACACCCCCAAAATTTTAAACCAGCAAAATCCATTTGCAAATTACTAACCTGTCATTCCCAGCAATTTAGCAAAATCATCTGTGGAATATTAGTGATAGTTCTTCCTATCACTATCATTTTCAACAAGTTTTCTTCTGGTCATCTTGTATCTCAGCCTGCCTATGTTTGAGAAGGCCAGTAACTGTTAAAGAGAAGAAACATTATCATTTTAATAGAAAGTACCAACTAGAAAACTTCAAGGTATTGTTATTCTAGCTGTAAGTTTTCCTGCTCCAGTATTTGCAAAAATCACCCCAACTCACAAAACTAAAACTAAAACAAAAAAACCAATAATAACAGCTCTACTGTTGAAGTGCAAGAAATACATATGCGTTTTCTTACAAAGTCACCAGACTTAAAGGAAACTACTTTGTAGAAGTTAGAGGGATAATATGATTACTTCTCTATGCTGCAAAATAGTCTTTCCTAATCTCATTGGTCCTGTATTCTTGAATTCTAAATTAATAAAGTTAATACACATTGGCTACGGGATATGGGGTCAAAAGTTAACTTGGCATAGCAGCACCTTTTGCCAGCTGTGGGTATGCAAAAATGACAAAGGGGTAATACATCACTTTCCCCAGCTGCATGTTAATAAAAATAACAATCTTCCCTTGGCCTTGTAGAAACGGAAATGAAGAAAGTCCCGCCTTTCCATATTTTTTTCATGAATGAGTGGGGTTCCCTTACTAATGAAGATAGATATTGTCCTTTATCATTTTGCTACAAGCCTTTCCTTCTTCCTAGATTACAATGTTGAACAGCCGGGGTCAGTCAAGATTAAATTTCAACTCAACCACAAAGTTTCCTTGATAACTTTGGACCAGCAAAGATCTCGCAGTCATATCTACTTGCAACTTGAGATGTGGGGGCGGGAGGGGATAACCTTTAATCTTTCTAAGTGAAAAGACAAATAATTCATACATCCACTGGCTCATGACATCACAGGGTTACTAAATATATCTCCAAGGGCTCCAGGCAGAGCATGGAAAAATTAACCATCTGGATTTGAAAGAGGGGAGGGAATCCTCTACCAAATTTCATGCCTATTCTATCAGGAAACTCAAAAGAGTTTTTGGCTGAGCTGACTGATCTCCCAGCATATCTGCAGGGCAGCAGGTTAAGAATAATTGATTCAGGTTCTTGCCTTTATTCATATTTGAAATGTTTCCTTCAGTGAATCCCATATTGTCTCATTGCATGCTAAATGTATAACTCTGCATAATTGCATTGGTTATATTGGATCACTGAACTTTTAATTCAAATTACCTGAGCAATTAATATTCATGATATAGTCCACTTCTTAAAATGGTAATTTCTACAAGTTCTGCTGTTTTTGAAGAATCATCTATGTTCTGTCTAGTCAGGTTATGCTGGATTCAGTGATACACATACATCATTAATCATTAAAGGTGTCAAATCTTTAGCTGAATTCTGGAAGCTTTTCACCACTAGGCACAACACTTTTAACATGTCATAATTTTTAGGAAGTATTATTCCCTTAAAACTTTTCCCTTTTTTCAAGGGTCTCCTCCATTAATTTTACATGAATTTATCCACAAATTCAAATCCTCTTGCATCATGTGGGGTTGGCCAATTTTGTGTAGCTGCTTGCATTCTTGGGTTGCTCATTCTTGATTGCTCATTCTTGGGTTAGGAGAAGGATTATTTTGAGGCAGGATGAACAAGACTTCTGGTAGCAGCAGTTAATCGTCTAAGCCAGAGGTCTCCAAACTTGTCCACTTTAAGACTTGTGGACTTCAATTCCCAGAATTCTGGCTGGGAAATTCTGGGAGTTAAAGTCCACATGTCTTAAAATTGCTAAGGTTGGACACCCCTGCTGTGGGTCTTTCAAGCAAACGCAGGAAGAGCACATATATAGCTTAGAGACAAAGCTCACTTTTCTATAGTGAGTTGTTTAAAAGAGTTTTCAGTTAAAAGAGTAAGTATTACCGTATTCAGCCATTAATAATAGAAGCAAGATTGAGAACTGGGATAGATGACTTTTGAGACCCTTTCCAAATTATGGCTTTTTGTGTTTTAGATCGGGGGTCTCCAACCTTGGCCACTTTAAGACTTGTGGACTTAAAGAGTTGAAGTCTGCAAGTCTCAAAGTGACCAAGGCTGGAGACCCCTGCTTTAGACTGTAATAATCTGCTGCTGCAGGGACCTTTCCTGCTATTTTAGATACAAGCCTTGCTTGTGAAATGCAGATGAAATACAGGGTTCATTATATGCATTTATTTTGTGGATGTAACTTTTAAGGTTGTTTCGTACAGTATGAACAGATGGAAGTTGTAAATGGTTCACTGGGAATGGTTCAGTTTTTGAAAGCAATGTGTCGCTTCCTAGATGAAAGGAGGTTTGCTTTTTCTTCACTCAGCTGGTCTATCAGTTTGAAAATGCAAAAATGCCCTTTTGGTTTCCTTGGTTGTTGTTTTTATAAGCGAGTTTGGGAAATTCGATTGAGAAAGGCGATGCAATAACTCCAGCTTCCCGAATGCAGCAATTCATTGGGTGTTTATTCCCACCACTCCTCCATAAATCTGTGCTTTCTGCAGCAGATGTTGAAAAAGACTGAAATCTATTAGAAATCTGGAGAAAGCTCTTTTGGAAGAATTGATAGCTTTTAGAAAACCATTACCTCTTTTTTGATCTCCTGG